GTACCTGTCTTTAAAGTGAGGAACCAGAGACTTTTTTCATATAAATCAAAAGCCAATACATACACAATAGGTTTATGAAATGTAAAGAACCACAAATGTCACGAATGAAAACTGTTCAATTGTTCCAACTGGGTGTTTGATCTCGGTCATTCCAGTTATTATTGCATGACGTCCTAAGAGAGAAGCCCACGGTAGGCCTCCATGTATTGTTATTATGTCTCAACCTTACGGGATTGTGTAGGACGTAGTCATAACTTTTGTTTGTTGTCTAATTCTCGTAGGATCATAAATTAGATAATCAAGGAGGTGTATAAGGAAACAAACGTTATACAGATCCTGAAGTAAGTCTGACTGAAGCTAATATAATCTTCAATGTCATCAAACGGAAGGAGTATCTCACTGATACTTCAATAAAAAAATAAATAAAAGGTAAAATGCAATAGAAACGTCCACAGTTGCTTACACTAAATATGCGAACTGTTACCAAAAAAATAATCAAACACGATTTTTGTTTCTGCTAGTTTGTAAAGGCAAATTTACTTTTTTTAAACTTCTGGGACGACACTTTAAGAACAGGAAGGGACATTTAGTAAACCTGTTGGATATAAGGAGAAACTACTGCAAGTTATGTACTGCAAAAGTTAGTGATGACTGAACAATGTACCTTCTACTGTATATATATAATAAATAAACGCACCTAACACTGCCCTTCACCCGCTGGCAGTGTGGCCATAGGTCGCTACAATTCTTTCTTAACTAGACAGCCATCACTGTACCTTTGAAATATTTTTTACTTAAAACATTCTTTGTTACCCAGGACAGTTACAATTACTCTATCTGTGTATTTAATACTTCCTACATGCTACGTAAGTGGCGCGGCAGCCAGGTGGATACGGGGCTTTTCTGCTATCACTGGTTGGATGCCGGGGCATTCCTGTTCCACCCAGCTGCAAATGGGTACCTGTACCTACCTTTACATTTGGAGAAATTAAGGTGGTCAAGTGTAATGCTGTCTTTGTATATCTAAACCAGGTCTAGGGAACCTACTTCCTGTGTCTGTGTATTACCCCTCCCATAAACAGAAACCTGCCTGCATATTAGGTTGAGGCCAGTGTGTTGTCCTGGTTCACAAACTATGGCAGGTTCTTACCAGCGGGAAACATTACTCTTTATGTATCAGAGAATCCTTTTGGTGTGATGGTCTTGTTTGAGAAAAAAAAATGGTGTAAGGGCGAGAGTCCCAAGGAAGTTAACAAAGAGTATTTTTCACAAAGTGTAACAAACAAGTATTACGACACGTCTCTCTATCACTTAGAAACACTAAGTTAAGTTTAAATCACAATTGCATATATGAAAAACATGTGATGTAACCACAAAAACACACACAGTGATGCAAATATAACCCTGCAGGGATCTTAGTGTATATTCAAGTATCTTTCATAGCTTGTTCTCTTCCATAACTTTTACAAGTTGGTGCAAAAAGACGGTAAGAGTATTACTTGTGAAGAGGACATCAGTTGTGGAAAATAATGATGGTACCATCACTGCAGGGTAATATATTGGTGGCTGAATTATACTGGTAGACGTGAATGATGTGTCATGCATTTCTTTTTTTACCTTGTTCAACAAATGTAATTTGATTATTTACCTATAGAAATATTTAGGGCATATTTGTTTTACGTTTTCACGGTTTCTCTAAGTCGGGAATTAATTTGTGATTAATTACCGAGTAGATTTTGTTTCTGATTTCCGGGAAATTGAAAAAAAAACAAAAAAATAATGAATAATTTTGTCAAGAGTATTCATATGCCAAAATGTTTTATGTAATATGACTGTTGAATAAAAATTGATATAAGCAGAGGAGCGTATTGGAACATGAGGAGACAGTGTGAAGATGTGATTTTATTTGTTTGTTTTATTTACTGTGTTCTTGTGTAGATGTGTGAGTTAAAATTACCAGAGGTAGATGTGTGCTGTGATGTATGATGAAGCCGTGTATAATATATTAAGAGAGAGAGAGAGAGCACCATTAAATTTAAATACAGTTGATAACATAGTAAAGTATCACCATGACTTGAGAACTTTCACGTTATTTTTTTTTTTTAAGTACAAGTTTTATTGATTGTTTTAAACTGACTTTTTTTTTATCCTGGCTGGTGTTAGAGAGAGTAACATGCGACTCCCAGCCGTCAACAGAAGGTAGCATTAGATGACTGTATGATTATGTTTAGTTTTTGAGAGTGAATTTAATTATGGGGGAGTTGCTGTGAGAAGGTGCAGGAGAGGTTGTAACAGCTGCGAGAATCGTGCAACATTGTACGCGTACGCACACTACTGTACTGTATGCAGTATACACAGTTTTGTGCACATGTGACTACTCAAACCTTCACACTAATCTGTATTGATATATTCTTTAATTACAAAGTAAACTGATATTTTTAAAATTTCCCAAGTAGTATCCTCATTTGTTATATACAACACTATTAGTTTCATTCAGTTAATTGTAAAACTAAATACTGACCATAAAACACACACACACACACACACACATATGTATATATAAATATATATATATATATATATATATATATATATATATATATATATATATATATATATATATATATATATATATATATATAATTTTTTTTAGCGGCTGAGAAGAAGATATAACTTGGAAAATTATACAGGCAAGTGGCATGAGATGGTGGTGACAGTGCGTGTGACCAACTGCTGAGGGAGAGGGAGGAGGCGCTAGCCCAACACCCGGTCCACCACTCACACGACCCATCATGCTCCTCTTGGTAGGTCGCCCTTCTCGCTGTCCGGATAACTAACTTTATTATTCGAGATTTAAATTTGAACGTACAATTTGAACAATTTCTGTAATAACCGGTGGGAACACAGAAACGCCTTTACCAGCATCAGAACTGTTAAATGAAAGTCCTGGGCGAGAGGTTGTTCATTGGTTAATATCTTAAATCATCCCCCTATCAGTTTTAACTTGAGAAGTAAGAACGTGTGTAACTGGTTCATAATTATAAGCTACGGCATTAATATGGCAGCTGAAATGGCACTAAAATTGCCCTGGGCTTGTAGCTAGACGCATTATTGCATCATCAATCATGGAAGAAGTTGATGAGAATCCTACTTCCGATTCTCGGCAGGTCATACGTTTCAACAAAAGAGGCGATTTAAGAAGTCTCCAATTAGCTCAATTGTGCTGCACCTGGGAACGCTTGTGACGAAAAATTGCATTGGGAGCTACAACACTTATATCCTTTCTCTTATCCCTATGTGGAGTAGGGAAATATACGCTTAAATGTCTTATGGTCTGGACCTTCGACTCTAAACCCCCTTCAGGCACGTGGGAGAGTAGCAACAATAGCGGCGGTGATGGTAGTGACACAGGCCGCTGTTCCTCTCGGTATCACTCGGTCTCAGCCGCCAGCAGCAGGGGCACTTGTCCAGCAGCAGGAGGACGTGGTGAGTCTCCTGGGTGAGGTGGCTGGGGGGCGTCTCGCTGCCTGCCATCCCATCATCCTCACACATAACATAACTGCTTCACCTCGCCTACACACCATACTTATCGGGGTAGGACACAACTATGTTTTATGATAGGAGAGTTATCACAAATTTTCTGTGTTACAGTTGTTTTTCAGTGGTTATATCTGTAAAAGTTATGAGAATCTAGAAATTCAGTTTTATTATATTATTCTGGTTGCCACTACCTCACTGACTTATAAACTTAACAATACTTTGAGCAAATGTTATTCTCTGCTCACTTGGCAGAATATCCACTTTCAGGGTTTGTGACATTAGTAAATAAGTTCTGTATATGACTATGAAGTTCCTTCATCAATACACTAAAAGTCGAAACTTCTCTAGTTTAGAGCATAATGTTTTATCTGATATTTTTAAGAAAAATTCATTACATAAAGCAGTTTACTTTTCCATTCTCCTTCGATATCTAATTTCTTAATTACGATTAAGGAGGAGACTTTCCGAGAACAATAAAACCAGATTCCCTAAATGTTGACATATTGCTTACATTACCTGGATGTTGAATCTAAGGCTTGATCGAGCGTCACGCTTTTTGTTTTAGATAAATCAGATGCCCTTGATATTATCAATTTGTCACGCTCTATAGGTAATACATATATTGGAATGGGGTCCTGATGATCTGAAAGTTGTACTTACCCCAAAAAAATAATAACGTGAACCAGTATGTTAGAAAATGTGAAGGATTCGTTGTACCAGGAACCGTTGTCACTTGTTTCTATTAATAAGTAATGGTTGCCCATCGTGAAACGAGGATGGCCGATCCAAGGGCCACCTAGGCGTGAATTTGTTTTAGGTGTAGAAGCTGTCGCAAAGACAACAACCACACCCTAAATTAACGAGCTGCATGACCCAGTGTCAAGGAATAGTCCGAGAAGACGGGACAACTCGCCAACTGCACTGGTTAACCATTACCCCGGAACTTTATCCGCAAATCGATTAACATCCAGGTTCCCTTTTACTGCTGGGTAGACAGAGGCAAATGGCGTAAAGAAACTTGCCCATAGTTTCACCATACCCGGGATCGAACCCGGTTCCGCTCGCTTGCGAGGCGAGAATGCTGAACATTACACCACAGCTGGAAGGCGGAGGGATGTTTAAATATGTCTGGGGAATACCGAGACCTAAGAATTAATGTGAATTTCATCCTCCATTGCTTTTTAAACAATTAATCGGAAATGAAGTTACAAAACACTATTCAGTATAATCGATAAAAAAGGACAAGTTATAGTCAACATCACGGTCAAATTTCCACAAAAGTGAGTCACATCTGGATTTCAGTGCAAATATTGACCTTTGGTTGATGAAGAGTTCTTTGAACTAACGACAGACATGACCAAAATTAACTGGTAATTTAAGAAACTTAGCAACTAAGCATCACAAAGCACTCGACACTCGATCTTGTCATAGCATCTGTGTGTTACTCTCCGGCAGTTGCAGCAATCCATGGCCAATGCCTTCCTCACCTATGACGTAGAGACCTACCTCAATGATTCCCCGCCCAGTCTGCCGTTACTACGGCACCGACCACCAAAGTCTGACGGTACCTACTGTGTCGCCTACTACGTCCTCGCCCCACTCCCACTCCTCGCCACCGCCCTCTCTGCCATTCCTAAGACAGGTGGGCTATGGTATTCTCTTTGGACTTCGGTCATAAAAAATCCCGCCTAACCTAGCCTAGTCTGGCCTAATCTTACTTTGCCTAACCCATCATTGTTTAAATTTCACTTAACGTCTAAGGTTATCCTATCCACTAAAATTTATTTATTCTTAAGCAATCCTAGCCGTCTCTAATCTGTGTGCTAATCTACCCAAATCTTGCCCAGCCTAATATGTCGTGCAGTGTTGTGAGGTTTATAGGTATACCAGTATTACTGTTCGTCCCCGAAGACTACTATTGACTTTTGAGAGGCTAGCTTCCTATTTTTTTTGTTTGTTTTTACACTTTAATGAGTTAATTGCGTCTCCTCTTCCTCTCCCGGGCATGAACAGACTGGTTCCCCGGGGCCACCAGGTACTTCGTCTGCTGTACTGGGAGCAGCAGCAGCCTGGCCATCAACACCCTGGAGGAGGAACCCTCTATCCTGGCCTCTTACAACACCCTCTACGTCACGCACAACTCCTACCACGACCCCCAGGACAACAGGTCGTGGTCACTCCACCTCCTCTGTACGTAGTCTGTCTTCCTTCCTACCAACTGTCTTTTTCTTTTATTGCCTTTTTCCCCCTGAATGATAAATATTGTTAAAATGATTTACCAGTTCTGCACGCTAGGATTATCAAGGCTCGTATTTGAATCGCTAATCCTGCTTAGTAGAAAAGTACCTCTGATGAATAATTAAACTGTATATCACCTGTGTTACTTAAATGTTATTTATATATCTGTATGTGTATCTGTCTATATACCTTTATGACTGTTAGTATTTGTTTATCTATTATTCACCAATAAGTCAACCGCTTTAAAACGTCAAGTAGAAAAGTTTAACACAGTGTACTAGAAAACCCATGATGACGTAATCATTACAGCCAACTGCCCGTTCTGTCGGTCTGGGGAGCCAGAGGTCATCCTGCGGAACAAGTGGAGTCCCTGGCGCGGCCTCCAACACCACACTGACCTCTTCCCTGACCTCTTCAGCGACTGTAACGGCCACGTCTTCAGGTGGGTGCTGAGGGTTCCCAGTTATAATTGGTCCAGATCTTAATGCGTCCCAGTTGTAAGGATCCAGCCCTAATGTTCACTTAAGGTAGTCTCGGGCCTGTCAGGGCTGCGGGACCCATTTGACCTGCGACCGATACTGGGGTGGACGTGCCCTGTGTTGACCTGATGGACATTGCTGGCTGACAACACAGTTCCTGATATAATTTTTTTTCTACTCGATCGTGCTGGTAATAAAAGCCTTTTTCATATATCAAGTCATCACTGGGAAGTAGACTGGTAGAGCGTAACATACAGATCACCAGGTGAGGCTTACGGCGTACTCTGTGACTATTTGAGTTGAGAAGTCTTCTTTTATAACACTGTTTTGCATAAAGACCGTGAAAATATGGGGATAAAACAGGTATTATAGACGATGCAGAAAAAAGGTAATCCACAAGTAGACTACAAGTAAAATATTTACAAAATCACAATAACTTCAGCATAATAATACTGATGGAAATTAAAATAGTGTTATTAATAATAATTATAATATCAATGACAATAAGAGTAATATTTCTTTCCAGCGTCATGAAAGGTCTGGGTTAGTAATCATGATAATGGATAATGATATCTTTTCGCAATAAGACAAAGTTGACAGTAATAGTGTCTTTCTACCCGAAGATAGTGAATGATAGTGTGCCTCGGAATAATGCAGCTGATGATGGTGATAGTGAAATTGTCTCCTCACAACAATACACTTGGTGATGGTCTTCATTCATAACAAAGAAGATCTGATGGTGAAGGTGTAACTCTTATTAATGCAAGGGATGATAGTGTACAATAAGGCAGAGAATGAAGATGATAATGAGTATATCTCCCTCACAGGGCCGTCACACTGAACTTTCCTCCCTTCAGCCACTACTCGTCAGGCAACTCAACACACCCACTAGCAATGGAGGACTGCCTGGACAAGCGTATCGTTGACTCTGTCGCTCAGGTTCACAACTTCACCTATGAGGTCAGTGGTTCGCCTTTCTACTTCCCAAGATATTGATTTCTTGCAAGTACAGAGACAAGACAAGACACACATAAAGGTATGGGCACACTACTGCTACTACTATTTTGCTGTCACTTGGAATCGAGTATGAAGATCATTCAGCTACGATACAATGGTATGAGTTATTAAGGATGTCGCCAACGTTGGTGAGTTCTGAGGCGACTAAAGAGGCCGATACGGGACCGACAGGGTCGTTCATAGATGTTGCACATGTGGGGGGCTACATCTATTGCGGGAGGGGAGGCCCACAGCAGCGTCTTTCCGGCGTTGGCTCTTGTTATACAGTCGGGCTAACTCGATAGTATTGACACACACACACACACACACGATAGTCTAACCATTTATTCCTGAGTGCACAAGAGCTGCGTACAACGAGATAACCAAAGCCTTCACTCCAATATAGAGAGTTGAATCCGAGACTCTCCTCTTGGGGAGGATAAACTCTGTCAGCTGAGCTACAGTCACAAAAATAGGCGAGGACGAGACAGAGGCCGCTTCCACACCTTGACCTCCTCCGCTTTTAAATGCATTGTGTAACACTAGGCTCACCCTGTACCTCTATAACGGAGTCTGTGGTTTGGCTAGATGGCCGAGCTCGTAGTTCTTGCAGACACACATTCAATCCTAGATGAATCTCGGCCATATAAAAGTAATGTCCTCAAAACTAAAGTGTCGCTTGTTTGAGTTTAGGACGCACCACATTATTCTATAGCTCGTCCATCTTCTGACTATAAGTTTATATCATCACGACTTGTCCCTCGAATTCTTAATCCAGAAGGTTATTGAGACATTAACAAGAGCTTTTTAATAATTTTTGCGAGAAACTTACTGACCTAATTAATTTTGGTGATACTGAAAGTTACCATAAAATGTTTAATTCTTCTCTGGTATTTCCTTCGACAGTATCAGTGTATCACCTGCTTTACATATGTCATGTACATTGTCGTCTCAAGTATAAACTACTACAATACTTTAATGCTTATAAAGAATTATTTTTCATTAGATTAGAAATAAAGATAAGCGGCACAGCTGAGCACAGACGACCATGGCTTTTAGTTTCCTTGCTTCAGTGATGGATGCGATGCTTAACCTTAATTGTGCTTAAAGTTAGTCTAAATCACAGGCAGCTGATTCAGTAGTTGTGCGAGCCAGCTTATGGGTTGTGTGGGTACCATCTGTCTTCACTGGTAGTGTTTTGGACAGGTTTACGAGCCAGCTGATGGACTGTGGGGCTACCAGGTGGACAACGGCAGCTTCACGGGGGTGTTGGGCGAGGTAGAACGTAATATAAAAGATTTCTCCCTCGACCTCTCTGTGACAGCCGAACGGGAGGTTGTGATCGACTTTACCGTTGGTTACCATTGGGAACCTCTTACCTTCGTCACCAGTAAACCTCAGGTGAGTCTAGGGTCACTCCGTCGTCGTCATCTTTATTAACTCACTGCTGGATGAAGTCTTCTGTAATAGTTCAATATCTTTACCTTCTTCACCAGCCTGTATCCGTCCGCTGCAGGATAAGTCTCCCTCATAAGCTTTCACAGTTTTCTGTTTGTTTTCTGCTCGCTGGTTGCATCCAAACTTCCTACAATCTATCCGTCTTTGGCCGTGAGACTTTTTCTTGATTTAGACAAACAAAAAAAAGTTGACTCCTAATGTTAAATCTCTAATAGTATCAAGAAGCCATTGAACTGTGACCAACTGACCTGCTGAAATAGATGATATAAAACGTTAAGCAATGGTTCATAATATGTCATATGGTTATATGAATTATTCCAAATGATAGAGAGATTATAATATTGAGATATATTGTGAAGTGACTTATAAGATCCAAAGTTTATATTAAATGAAGTTAACATTGCCTTGTTGGTAGCCGCTTCCGCAATGGTTGGCTCTGGTGCGTCCCTACCAGGCGTATGCGTGGCTCTCCTTCCTGCTGTTGTTGGCAGCTGCTGGACCTACCTACTGGCTCCTGCAGAAGCTCTCCGGCAGCTCTCATTCTTTTTTAGGATCCATCCTCCATATGTATGGCGCCATGCTCACACAGGTCTGTGTATATATTCACATCATTGATGTGGGTGTATGTATTGTACGTTTTGGCATACCGTACATGTCCTTAACTTTGCAGTATTTTGTTATTGGGTATGTTTGTATGTCTTGTAGATGAAAAAAAATATTTTTTAAGCATCAGAAGTACAAAAAGAGATCTTTTAGTTTGCTTAAGGGCGTCGTACACCCATAAAATGTCGACCACCCAGGTGTGAGTGGGTTTCTAACTTCACAGTTGTGTAGTGAAGTCTACCACACTGCCGATCTGTGTACTGAAATATTTTTCAGTCTTCAGTGTGATGTAACTTCACTGCCCTTAATGGCTTACTTTAACGTCTATAGAATGAAATTTGATTAACGAATTACTAAGAAAATAAAGTGTTCTTCCCAGGAAGCTACATGAATACGAGGTTGTTAAGAAATATCAAAACACAGACTACAGAGGATATATAAGTCACACAAAGCATTTGCTAGAGAGCGATCTGACTTTAGATGGGATTAAAGTGGTACTGCAGGATTTTAAGTTGTGTTATTGCAGTCAAAGAGATTCATTTAATTTCTTCGCGTAGCTCTTGATGCTACGAATTATGGTTTGATTCTCTTTGTGGACATTCTTGAATTTTATTTCACCAAATTAACTTGATTTCATGTACAGGGTCGACGATGGCCGTCCAGTTCGGCAGTGCGGGTGTTCTCTGCCTCGTGGCTTTTCTTCTGCCTGGTGGTGACGGTGTCTTACGTGGGCAACCTGACAGCCTTCCTCACGGTGCCGGCCCTTTCCCCGACCGTCGACAGCTTGGAAGAGCTCGTAGACTCCAACTTTGTGTGGGGCATTAATGACTTTGGCGCTGCTGACTACCAGCTCTTTAAGACCAGCAAGGTATGAGTTAAAAAAATAATACAAGACTAATAATAATGCTTGGGTTTCAGAGTTAGGTAGTACATAATATATTCCGGCACTAGTGGGCTCCTCTCCTTCTGGCCCTGCAGTAGCTCTAATGGGATCCAGGACTTCTGACCCTTAGTCATAATGAGATCCAATCCTAAGGATTAGGCTGGGTTGAATCCTATTACGATTCGGGCTTATTACTACTGGGGCTAATTCAATCGTCAACCCTGGTCTTCGCCACAGGTGCCACTCTACCAGGAGATCTTCCGGGGGCTGACCTTCTGCCCGTCGCTGGTGGAGTGTGTCCAACAGGCCCTGGACGAACGATTTGCTTTCATCTCCTTCCAGACTTACCTGCGGGACGCCATCGCCATGCACTTCATTGACAAGAGCGGAGACACACAAGTGTACCTGGCCAAAGAGAGCTTCTTCCCAGCTGACACCGCCTACGCTATGCAAAAGGGGTCGCCCATGAAGGTAGGTTCAGAATAAATGTAGGGAACCAGTGATAATGTAAATCATAAAATATAAAAGGTGATAAAGGTAAAGACAACTACAATAATAATAATAATAATAATAATAATAATAATAATAATAATAATAATAATAATGAAAGCTCTAGTCAGTTACAAACATTTCATAACGATGTTTTGATTTTTGTAACCTTAGTACAACTACTGACATTATCGCCTCGTCTTGTCAAATTGATTCTTCCACAAAGAGTGTTTAGAGTCTCGGTGGAAAAGGTTATTTGTATCTAAAATGTCTATATAAGAAACAATTTACTTAGTTGTGTAGACGAGTCGATGACAACGTTTCTTCCTTCATCATTAATAGCCAAAAGGACGAAATATGATAATACTGTGTTTCTGCGTGGGTAAACCCTTAAAGAATACTGTACCATTGAATAGTTTTAGTCTTAAACACCAAGTGAAGAAGCGCTGGATAGTGATCATTTGTCAAGCTCAATATTGAGGGGCCTAGAGGCGTTTACTCTTGTAATAGAAATTTACCAGCCCGTTTCTTGGCTTTTCCCCTGGTTAAGAACATAGAGGAAGGAATTAACACGTTACAAAAGTTGCCATTATATTTTTGAAAGTTAGATTTTATCTTTCACTGGAGTATTACATTTTGTGATTCACGTGAATTGTGTATTCACAGCGGGTTTTCGATGGCATCTTGAAGCGGCTGCTGGGTGGAGGATTCGTCTCCAAGTGGATGTCTACGCTGATCGAGGAGCACACGCTGGCCACCCGCAGGAAGGCCGCGGTAAGTAGGGGCACACTAAGGGGTACAGGGTTTGTGTGAGGGGGTTGAAGGGTCAAGTTAGGGTAGGTTTGTGTAGCTACGGGGCCACAGTACGCGTATGTTGGGATTCATTGTATTGAGGACAGGTGTGAGGCAACAGGTTGTGAAGCATAACATAATCATAAGGCAGAGATATGCAAGTCATTAACACAGGTGTAACATTCTCACCTGTGTTATTTCTGGGGCCGCGGGCAGGCAGCTTCAGCGTTGTCAGGGGAGACGGAGGCAGTGTTGGAGGGGAATCAACTGAGCCTCACCTTGCATCACCTGCAGGGAGTCTTCTACATCTACGCCGTGGGTCTACTTCTCTCTGCTCTCACCTTCACCTGTGAGCTGATCCTCTTTGGCCTGCACAACGGCGGCAACAAGGGCTGAGGCCATGAACCAATCCTGAAAGATGAGATCACTTCTTTCCAGTTTACTAACCCGTGGCAGGAGGTTGTTTTTGTAACTTCTACTGAGAATAGATGTACCCTTACTTTTAGTGATTTGGCTTTGGAATTTAAGATGGTGTATTCATAAGCCAGGGTATTAAAAAAAATCATTTTCTTATTGAGCGTTTAGAGTTGGCAAACTGGTGGATATAATTGTATGTGTATTCCATACATTTGTATATTTTTTAAGGAATTCTCAGCGTGCTAAAGCTTTGCTTTTTCCTGCATCTCTGTGTTCAGTAGTGATTATCATAGTGACCAAGGTAATGACGAGTTATTCTTTAGAACGTTCGTCACCAGGTCACTTTAAGGCGGCGACACACTGGGCACTTTCCTCCCAACATGTTTGGCAAACACGGTCCGACCAGCTAAACAAAGAGACGTTTTGTGTCACACTGGGATGTTTTGTTGGCTCGTCTGCCCAACGCAACAAAAACAACAAAAAAGCCTCGAGACGAGGTTCACCGTTACTACAGTTGAGGCCTTGCAGGATTATGTTATAGTTCTTCAATTGCTGAAGATAATGGGTGCGTCGTGAAGTTTCTTTAAAAGCGGTGGCGGCTGGCGGGTCAAAGAAGACCCTGAGTAATGATTTAATAATGCTGAAGAAGTTTTAAAGTAACGAATATATAGAAATATGTCTCCGCCTAGGTGTTGTATTTTAAACATTATTATTGTTTCATGATTTATTTCCATTTTACTTGAAATTATATAAAGTTCATCTGAGCACTAATCTGGCCAGCAAAGATCCCTGCCAACAGTTGTTCATTTCTCGCAACTGCAGAAATCCTGTAGCTTGGTGGGCCGTCAGGCCAACGACCAGCAAAACGGGCAACGTATTTAGAGGAAAGTGCCCAGTGTACCACCGCCTTTACTGTCACTCACAATATTGGCACTTTCATCATATTGGCTCTCATCATACTGGCACCCACACTCTACTGACGCTCACCATACTGGCACTCTCACCATCTCCACGCCTTCTTCACTCCATCACTACACTCATCTGCCTCTCTTAAATGCCGTACAGTAGGAGTTCATTCCACACACCTTCTCACATAATACTTCATCACCTCCTTACAAGCTACACACCCAGCCGTACATAGTTCTCTCTTGACTCACTGAACACGCAGGTTCCTAAATCCCCCCCCCCCAAAAAAAAAGGAATGGGGATAATACCAGTAGGGAAGAGACGAAGAAGAGCAACAAGGAGCAGCTTTTGCAGTAACATTATACAAAGACAGAAGTAAGTTTCTCTGCTCACTTGGTTTCACTGCTGTTCTTCTATTCCACATATTCACTTTTAAACGGAGTTGTGGTATTTATGACATGAGCTGTTATTTATTACTTTTATTTTTGAAAGATCAGGTGACAGAAGTAAACACCGACACGAGTAGCCTCAAGAATAATGAAAAAGAAAGTCTGTTTGTCGGTGTGTGTATTGTTGCGTGAACTACAGTATTGCATTGTAATCGGTAACTTCAAATGAGAACTGGTGATGGTGATGACGTCTCAGCTCGGTGAGGATGTCTCAGCATTTGGGGATGACGTCACAGCAGTTATTGATGGAGTCACTGCAGTTGGTGATGACGTCACAGCCGTTGTTGATGACATCACATCCATTGGTGACGACGTTTTAGCTGTTGGAGATGACGTCACAGCATTTGGTGATGACATCACAGCAGTTGGATTTTTTTTTAATTGTTGGAAATTTTCTAGTTTTATTTTATTTTATTTATTTATTTATTTTCTTTGGGGGAACTTTTCCCTTTCCTCCTCCCTCCCCCAACTTTATCCATCTCCCTTTCCTTTCATCCTTACTTTCCCTCTCCGTCACTCCTCACCCCTATCTCTCTTTCTCCCTCATACTATCCACCTTCTCCTCTCATACGCCTTCCCTACACAACTGAACTGTTATGTTAGTATCAACCCAAATGCTCACCTGCTACCCAGCACAACAGTCAAATTCTTTAGGACCAAATCCAAAAATCATATAAATCTTATAGAATTTTAAGTAAAATTAAGTCACTCTATATAGAGGTTCTGTAACATTATGTAAAGCATGTTTAGTTATAAGAAAATCTATCTCAAAGACTTAGAAGTAAGTAGATCATGGTTAATAAAATTGGGGAAATTGCCATAATTTGTAGTATGATTCTACTCCCTCAGTGTTTTAGTGTCGTCTCGAGGGAGAGTTCCAACATAACCTTATTGTTTACACAGTATCCTAGTGTATGTAGTCTAAACAATACGTACAGTTAACATCATCAAAACTGTTACAAGTGTTGGGTTAAATGTGAAAATTAAAGACAAATTCAAAAGGATAATGTTCAGCACCCATGGTGAATTATAAAAAGAAAAAGTTGTATATATATATATATATATATATATATATATATATATATATATATATATATATATATACTCTGAAGGAAGTGTGTGTGTGCACAGGATGGTGTAATGCGTCTAGTGTGGCAGCATTATGTTAGTGTTAAGGTACAAGCACTGCTTGCTCCCTCTCACTTTCAGCTACCGCCGGTGGCTTGCCCTCGTGGTGAACAGGGAAGCAACTTGCACTAGTCTTCGTCTGCTAGTACTCAGCCTCTTCACCATCGAGACTCCTGCTGTGCCTCCTCATGACAACACACGGTAATGGGTGCCTCGTGGGGCCAGGCAAGGCCAGCAGGGGATCTCAGAGCAGCAGCGGTCTCAGAGGGACAGCACATAGGCCCACGGGCATGTGGACACATCGTGGTTCCTATCAACCATTGCCCCGCTGACTTGAGGATTAACTTGGTAGGTATAAGGCTACTGGAGTAAACCCCGAACGAAAATCTGTGGTGTAGCCCCGCATCAGGCAGACATGCTTACAGAGCTCTAACAAGACCTCGATGGAGGTATAGACAGAAGAGGTGACAAACATGGGAACCCAACGATTACACCGGCGGATGAAGGCAATGCATGATGGACAGGCTACTAAGGCGAAACCCAAGAAACTGGGCTATCAGCAGTCCATTGCAACTCTCTCTCTCTCTCTCCCCAGTCGTTGCAACACTTGCACCACTGGATCAGGAAAAGGGAGAGCTAAGATGTGTGGTTGCAACCTGCACTTCTGCCTCAGCACATAAATCAACTCATGCATAGCCATCATCCAGTTCATCATATTTATCATCATCATCAACACCCTTATACTCCCAAAAGTCCTTTGGCGACAGACGAGTGGCGACGGGGACAGGCAGAGATGACTGCCGGGAGTCTCTAGTCACAACTCTGCACACGGGCGGCATAGATAAGATGGTCGTTTATTCTCTGGGATCTAGGCAACAGTGCAATCCAGTCCTGTCTGTGCGACTGAGCAACCCTCTCGAGGACCCACTCTGCTCATCCCGCACGGGGAGGGGGCTAGAAAAGGTGCCCTAAACATGGCCTGCCTAAAGAACAAACCTGACTAGGCAACTGCACCCAGTAAGGTCATCCTTATGTGGTCGAAAACACAATTATAATCACAAATCAAAACAAAAACGAACTATACAACCTCTTATGGTTGCTGCATGGAATGTCAGGACCCTTCTGGATACTGGCACAAATGAGTGTCCTGAAAGAAGAACTGCCCTTGTGGCAAATGTGTTGGCTAGGTATAACATCGACATAGCAGCCATTAGTTTGGAAGGGTAAGCATGCTGTGGAGAGAAACCTCATTTATGGAGTTGGGTTTGCTATCCGCCAATGCATCGTATATAGGCTAACTGAAATGCCTATTGGGAACTACGAGCGCCTCATGACACTCAGAGTGACACTGAATCACTCACGTCATGCCTTCTTCGTCAGTGAATACACTCCAATACTGGATGCAGAGGATGACATCAAGGAGGCCTTTTATTCTGACCTTGACAGAGTGTTAACCTCTATCCCCAGAGAAGATAAGGTTGTGCTCCGAGGTGTCTTCAATGCCAGAGTTGGAGGAGATGCTGACAATTGGCAACGAATCATAGAGATAAATGCACTAGGCAAGTATAATCCCAATGGGCTACTCCTCCTCAGCAAGTGTGCTAAACACAACCTCACTATCACCAATACCTTGTTTAGGCAAACCGTCAAGTTCAAGGCTTCGTGGCATCACCCACGATCCACACACTAGCATCTCATTCACTACATTATTGTCAGAGAAAGAAATAGCCGAGAAGTCCTCATCACCCAAGCCATGCATGGCTTAAATCACTGTGACACTGATCATCGGCTCGTCAGAGCCAAGCTCTCACTTCACGTCACCCCCAAAACGGCGAAGGCAACAAGCCTCCAGAAAAGGTTTTAACACTAAGCGTCTGGAGGATCCAGCGGTAGCACTTGCCTTCAGAGAGCAGCTCCAACATGGGCTGATAAACAACCCGACAACACACAACCCAAATCTCCATTCTGAATGGGATATTCTCGACACTGTCATGACAAAAACCTGGAGAGAGACCTTCGGCCAGATCGAAAGAATGCACCACTACACCAGGACTGGTTTGATGAAAATGACCTGGAAATCTATGTACTTGTCAATAGTAAACGTGCTGCTCTTACTGACAGGCAGAACAACCCTCGGTCTCGAACCAAAGCTGATACCTACTGCAGCATGAAAGCTGCTGCCCAGCACGAACTTTGCAATTTAAAGAACGAGTGGCTTAAAAATAAAGCATGAGAAATGCAAAAAACTTGCAGATCAACACAAGATGCGTGAATTTTTTAATTCAACTAAAACACTTCATGGGCCAATCACTCATGGTGCAGCCCCCTCCGTTCATCCGACGTTAACTCCTTAATTAAAGATGAAGAATGCTTCTTTCAGCAATGGAAAGAGCTTTACCATTCGCTGCTCAATCGAAACTCCGATGTGGATGTCCTGACTAACCAGGACAGAGTTGACCCACCTCTCCACTCTCCACTCTCTCCTAGAGAATATATGGGAAAAGGAGGAAATCCCCGAGCCTTGCTTATTTGTGCCAGTACTAATATAGCCGGCGGGGTGGAGATTCGGCACCAGATGAAGGGTCTTTTCAACAAAAGACGACTCCAGGCAGGAACAAAGGTGTCTGCAGCTTCCATGACTGAAGTTCTATATGCAGACGACCTCACCCTTGTCGCTCACACTGAACGTGACTTACAGGAGATCCCAAACACCTACGCAGATGCTTATGCACACTTCGGCCTTGAGGTGAATGTACGTAACACTCAGGTTCTCTTTCAGCCTGCCCCTGGTTCAGTCACACCTCCATCATCCATCTAGCTTAACGGTACTACCCTCCTTAATATTACCCACTTTCAGTATCTCGACTCCCACCTGTCCACCACCAGGGGCATGAATAGATTCAACATCGGATCAGATGTGCATTTTGAGTCTTTGGCAGACTCCTTACCCGTAACTTCAGCTGTAGGGAACTGAAATTATTCACAAAGTTGCATGCATATCGAGCAGTGGTCCTCCCCACCCTGCTATATGGCAGCGAGACATGGTTCACATAGAGGAGGCACTTCAAAGTACTTGAAAACTTTCACCAACGTAGTTTACGTTCCATCCTCCAAGATCGCTGGGAAGAAAACAAATGCCAGTATTTTCGCTGGTACCAACTGTAGGAGCAACGAGGCTACCATTATCCATGAACAACTACGTTGGACTGACCATGTTACCCGCATGGACAACAGTAGACTGCCAAAGCACCTATTTTACAGTCACCTGACGAATAGTAAACATAAAGCTGGCGGGTAATTGAAAAAGTATCAGGATAGTCTTAAGACAAATCTGAAAAAGTGCCAAATCGACCTCCTCACCTGAGAGACGATTATTCCACACCGTAATGCTTGGAGGAGCACCACACGAGAAGGTGTCAATACTTTCCAGTTAGCCCGACTGCATACCGAGGCAGACAAGCGCCAATGCCGGAAAGACGCTGCCACCACACCCCCACCGCACCAGACGTTGCCCTCCACACGTGCAACATCTGTGGACGACACTGTCATTTCCTTATCGGCCTCTTTAGTCACCTCAGAGCTCACCAACGAAGGTGACATGCTTAATAACTCATACCATTTTCTCATAGCTGTATGATCGTCATACTCGATTCCGAGTGACAGCAAAGTAGTAGCGTGTGTGTATGCAGTAAAAATTGTAAATTTGATATATTTCCCACCGGTTTAATTATCAATAGTGATTCAATTACGATAAATGTTCTATCTAAACATTATATTTTTTGTCAGGCCTCAGTGAAGTAGTTAAAAAATATTGGTTGAAGTGTTATACTGTTCATTAGATTTAAGTTTTTCTTTCCAAATATTATCAAGACAAGTCAAAGAAGTACACTACACTATGTTTCATCCCTATTCTTAAAGAAACCTTCAACCAAGTATCAGACTAGAATTCACCATTTATTTCTAGTTATGTAATAATCATATTTAATTCAGCTGTGATATTCAATATTAGTCTCATTAATTGCCAACTAAAAACTATATAAAACAGAATAATATGTGAATCATCCCAAACAAAATATCTACTACATGTACATGTTGCCTGTAGAGAGTGCGAGGAAGTACAAAAATATAATTACTGTACATTGTCATCGAAATGTACATATTAACGCACACGAGTGCATGAATAAGAAATACAGTAACTCTGACTCATGGACGCGAACTCATACACGTATTGTAAAAACACGCACACACACACACACACACATCGCAGACATGCGAGAGACATACACATATTCACAAACAGTTCACCGTCAATGAGCCATAATATGAGAAGTAGTTTCATAACATAAAAGGTAGATCTATTATTGAAAGATTTATTAGGGTCAAGAATTTATCTTGCCTACTGTACAAACTTTACAACTGATGTTAATGGTAATTAGGAAAAGTACCCCCCCCCTCCTCCACCAGAAGGTCAGGTACTGTGCTGCGCACCCACCAGCGCACCCAAATCAAGCATCCACGAACAACCCACGCCTGTGATACCCAAAGGAGGTCACGGATATAAGAGTGTTGGTTGCCTGTGTGAGACAGTAAGGAGCGGGTCGTGGTGGTGACACAACACACAACTCGCTCAACAATTCCACAAGTGTAAGTGCTGCTCCTCGCCTTAGAGGTTGTGTATTTAGCGACGAGTGTTTTTCAGTGGTGTTTACAGTGGTTGTGAGTGTTGGTTTAGTGTTAGTGTTGAGTGAGAGTAAATGTGGTTGTTGGAGGTGGTGTGTATCCCGTGGGTCAGCTCTTAGTGGGACACCTGTCCTGCGTGCTGCACACCTGACTTGCGGTGTCGTGATGTACATCAGATTGACTGCTGTGTCGTGCTGTGTACCAGGTTGATTGCTGTGTCGTGCTAAACTTAAGACTGACTGCTGTGTCGTGCTGTACATCTGATTGTTGTGTCGTGCTAATGGCCAGACTGACATCTCTGTCGTGCTGTACACCAGATTAACTGCTGTGTCGTGCTGTACACCAGGTTGACTGCTGTGTCGTGCTGTACATCAGACTAACTGCTGTGTCGTGCTCTACTGACTGCGTCGCACCTTATGTTCAGCTACACTGTGCTCGGCTCTTCCCTTATCCTCAACCAGTGCTAACAAGTCTTAAAATTGGATTTTCATCTTACAGCTTTGAGAAAATTTAGGTAATCTCTTATTTCTAGTCTGTGTAATTAATGTAAAGCATTAAGAGGTTCGTAAGTTTATGCATTAGGTGACTTTGGAAAATACTAAAACAACAAACTCTTATTGCCTTTAAATTTGTATTGCAAGCAAATATATAAATTGGTCTATCTTTTATTTTTAATTTTATGATTTATTCTGGTTAGCGGAAGTTAATTAACTAATCGGGCAAGCATAAAGATTATCCATTAAAAGTAGTTGCATAGTGAGAAGACACTGTCAAAATATAAAAGCCACTTCCTGTTAGATTAAAATATTAAATCAAACCTCCTTTAACTTTTTTTAAACACAACTTATAAGCATTCTTCCTGGACAGTTGCATATGACTCCACACCTCACAGGGTACAAGCGGTGACGCCCGGTGCTGGTGGCTACATAACACTTACCATGCTATTGTCAGCAAGACACACGCTCGGGAAGAATCACTGCCGGTGCCTTCTATAAAACAAGTCATTATTGCTTAGTAACTGAACGAGTGACCAAGTACTGTTCAGTGATCAACTTACTTCGCACTTGAAAAACTTTACTGAAACGTGGAAAAAGACATCCTCAGGTAGCTCACTATATGTCTAGCATAAAGATCTAGGTAATTTATACCGTCACAGAGCACATCAGGTGAGTTTTGTTAAATGTCTCGCCATCACCCGGGAGTAAGTAACATAGTCAGCTACAATGTACACAGTGCGTGGGGGACTCTTGAGATGATGATAAAGTAACTTACGGTATACTAAGTTAAGGCCGCGGGCTCGAGACCTGTGAAATCTAGTGGTGTTTCGTATTTAACTCGTGTTTGTCCAGTATGCCTCTTTCCATAAATTCCCTCTTCCTAATGCTCCCAAAAAGTGATAAGTGCTTTAGCAAGTAAACTGTGTTTCGGTTGTGGAGAGCAATAATGAGATGTTCCATGCATACACACATCATCATCATCATCGAGATCAGTGATACAATACTTATGTGCGATAATTTCATGTTGGAAGTCCTTCTGTCACCAATGTTAAATGCAGTTGAGAATATTGTTTTCAGTCAATTTTTGGGGGACTGAGTAATCTTCATTATTGTAGCAACTTTTTAGGTTTTCTGAGAATTAAATATATGACTTCAGAAATTATACAGGTAGAGGGCACGAGATGGAGGTAACAGCACTCGCGTGACCCACAGGTGAAGGAGAGAGGGAGGAGGCGCCCACTTTACAAGCCTCTCCATGCTCATGATGGTAAGTCGGACTTCTCGCTGTGACGAAAAAAAAAATTCTTCCAGCGATATATATGTATGAATGAGTGAAATTTTAGATGATGTGATCGACATGACTGTATTTTATGATAATAATAATGCTGCTCTGGATGTATGGGATATGTATGTTTACTAATTTTCCTTTTGTTGACGGGCACACGTGCCAACCTTTTAGGCACGTGGAACAGTAGCGGCTGTGATGATGGTGGTGACACAGGCCGCTGTTCCTCTCGGTATCACTCAGTCTCAGCCACCAGCAGCAGGGGCACTTGTCCAGCAGCAGGGGGACGTGGTGAGTCTCCTGGATGAAGTGGCTGGGGGGCGTCTCGCTGCCTGCCATCCCATCATCCTCACACACAACATCACTGCTTCACCTCGCCTACACACCATACTTCTCGGGGTAAGACGCATGAGCTCATCAAGTTTTTAATATTATTTTAACAATCGGTGAATTTTGAAATAATAATAATTTGTATGGAAATTGCTTCGTTTGGTAGATAATTAGGCGACTAGGGGCACACTACTTTGTCTTTCTTGGCGTGATGCTGTGGTACCCAGCCAATCATCTCCAATCGACGCCAGTCGTCAGTGTATGTTTATGAACCGCAGGGGTCGGATGGCTTCTCTCACGTCCACAAAACACGTAAAATTGCACCATATAATAGTAAGTTCTTTCTGTTTAATATGCGGGAGGTTAAGCCTCACGGCTGAGAAGTTACGTAGGGTTAGGTAGGTTTCTTTGGTTAGTTGGTCAGGTGGTCTAACAATGCTTCTGCCTCGTGTTTTTCTTATCAACTAAGATTAGATTAGATTGAATTTTGAAATGACTACTTGTTAACACATTTTCCATACCTACTACAGCGTCCACTATAAAACACAGTGAAATTGCGGCGATTTTAAATTCGTTTTCTTTGAAAAATCAGCGGCTGTGAAGTCGTAAATAATTACCATATATATATATATATATATATATATATATATATATATATATATATATATATATATATATATATATATATATATATATATATATATATATATATATATATATATATATATATATATATAGATAGATATATAGTGGACTTTGTCGTAGTTATGGAAAATGTGTTAACAAGTGGTTATTTCTAAATTAAATCTAATCTAATCTTAGTTGATAAGAAAAACATGTGGCATCAGGAGTTATCAAGGTCCCAATAAGATTAATAGTAAATAACTTGCATTTTACGAATTTGCAAAATATCCATATTCAACTTAATTTTGATTACTGTTTTTTCAAACAAACCCGTTACTGACTTACAAACTTAAAATATTGTAGTTTTATTAAATGTTATTCTCAGTTCCTCTCTACGTGTTCCCACTTTCTTATCGTCAGCTGAAAGTCGAGCTTCGGCAGTTTAATGCTTGACTTTTGTGAACTTTTAAATAAATTTTTCCGCTTTTGTACAACTATCTTTGTTTTTGTTAAACTTCTCAGATCTCTCTATTACGTTGGGTGGAGATGGGAGTTGGGGAGTCAAAGAATAATAGCGCCAAATTGAAACACATGTTAATATCTATTATTTTATTAATTAAATTTTTTTTTAACCTACGGGTCCATTATACGTGGTTTATTGGCTGTAAAACCATATAAAGAATAGGTTTTTCGAGAATAATACTGGATTCCCTAAACGCTGCCTGGTGTTTGCAACTTGACATAACTAATTTATCGTATTTAATAATAAATATACTGTATATATTTTGATGAGGACCTGGTAATTAGAAAAAAGCTCAATTTCGCAAAAATTATTATGAAATTTATCCGAACTAGTCTATAATACAGTAATTTATATTATTATTAATATTAATCAAACCGCCAGAGAAAGATCAAGAATAAAATGTCAGTTATTATGAGACAATAACAGCCTCCAACCTCACGTTTTCTTAAAATGAACAAGCTCTTGATCACACATGCAGTGAAATAACATTCCCGGATTAACCCCTTCACAGCGGGAGGTTACCCTAAGCTGAATAAAATCGTCTAGCGGTAACCAGAATACAATGGCAAGTGCGTGACACGCGGTGAAAGGGTTAAAGGCAAAAACGATCTCCTTTTGTGATCTTTTATATCTTAGTCACTCAAGGACCAACAATGTACTGGTCTCAGAATGGATGAAAGTTGTTGAAAGTCTTGTGGAATAATATAAAGAGGAAATATTCCATCTCGGTTCAGTGTTGTAACTCATATTTTGTCCAACAGTTTAAGGCTGATGTTCGAGTCCCAGAAAGTAAATTGTTTTCGATAAAAAATAGTACATTAGGCTAGATAAATTTTAATAAATATAGATATCTTTATGAATAGTTCCCAATTTTCTTAAAACATTGAAGAATGAGTCATGAAACACTTTCTGAAAATTAATTTAGGATCAAAGGTTACACCAAACATTATAACCTGATCATAATTTCTTATTACTAGATTTATACACAAGGAAGAATGTGTCGGATATTATATTCAAAATTTACTGTTCCGTGGGACACCATTGTTTATATCAGCAGCTGGTTTTATTAGAATCTTTGATGAAGGCAACAACAGATGAGACCTAATAATGTAGAACCATCCGCATAGCCCAACAAAGTGTTCTTAAGATCACTGTAAAAAAAAATAATTATGTAAATCCCAAATTAAGGAAGGTCAAAGAACACTGCCATGAGGAACACCATAGAAGCCTGTCTCACTCCACTAGATAATCATTATGAACAGTCTTTTACCATCTTGTATATAAATAATTCGTTAATAAGTTCAAAGGTCTAATATGGTTTCATCCTCGCTTACTTCTTAAACCATTAAGCCGAAAATAAATACATACATATATGAGTGGTATTCTACGACAGCTGCAACAATCCATGGCCAATGCCTTTCTCATCTATGACGTGGAAACATACCTAAGGAGCTACCCATCTGGCGTCCTCATACGACATCGACCCCAAAAATCTGATGGTACTTACTGTGTCGCTTACTACGTCCTCGCCCCGCTCCCAATCCTCGCCACCGCTCTTTCTGCCATTCCTAAGACAGGTGAGCTATGGCGTTCTTACTGGTCATAAAAGAAATCGAATTTACATTATTATAGTCTGACCTAACCTAACTTAGCCTAATCTAGCTTTGTTAAAGCTAACCTAATTAGACCCAACGCCTATCCTAGCCTAAGCTGAAGATAATTCATCCTAATTCCTAATCTACCCAACCCTAACCACACCTAACATCCGTACTCCCTCTATTATGAGTAAGGTGGGTTCCTCATTACTTCTGTCTTTGATAAAGGTACAATAGCTAAATCAACTATGTGCATACTTTGTGGGAAACAATATGAGACCATGGACGATAAATTTTGGTATATGAGGGCTGTCACTAGTCACACGTAAAATTTCGGAGCATATCGACTCCTACCTGCACCGATAGTTGTTTTAGCTACTGTACAGTCAACCAAAGATACACTAACCCCACCCGGATTTACGTACTCGCAATTTTACTTGGCAATACTTGGTAAAGTAAGGCTGTTTGTAATGGGGATTGTGGTAGGTGGATTTATTTTCGGTTGTATTACTGCCAGGATAAGTATTAAACAAAAATAAGGTAGCCTTTTTTTTGTATTAAATATTAAACAAGTTACACTTTCATGAGTTAATTGCGTCTCCTCTTCCTCTCCCGGGCATGAACAGACTGGTTCCCTGGGGCCACCAGGTACTTCGTCTGCTGTACTGGGAGCAGCAGCAGCTTGGCCATCAACACCCTGGAGGAGGAACCCTCTATCCTGGCCTCTTACAACACCCTCTACGTCACGCACAACCCCTACCACGACCCCCAGGACAACAGGTCGTGGTCACTCCACCTCCTTTGTACGTAGTCTGTCTTCCTTCCTACCAACATTCTTTTCTATTGTTGCTCTTTTTTTCTCTTAAATTATTATATTGCCTAACCGATTCGCCAATTTTATATTCCAGGAAGAACATTAACTCCTTATATTGGTTTAGTTGTCATGGCCTCACGTTTCACAAAATGCGTACCATTTATTCTTCTGTGAGGAAATGTATGTTTATTGAATCATTATTCATTGTTTGGATACCAAATACTTGTTCACTAAATTGTCTATCTATCTGTATGCCTGTCTATATATCTATTTGTTTATCTGTCGATGTATCCCTTTATCTATTTATCTGTCAATCAACCACTTTCAGTTTATAAAAAAAAATCATAAAATAAATAATTATGAAAAGAAAACTATGGATGGGATTACAAAGTATACTTGACTTTAAATGTAGGATTTAAATATATTGTATATAATTCTATACAGCTCACTTTTTATTGATATGCTTCAACACTAATCGTGACGTAATCATTACAGCCAACTGCCCGTTCTGTCGGTCTGGGGAGCCAGAGGTCATCCTGAGGAACAAGTGGAGTCCCTGGCGCGGCCTTCAGCACCACACTGACCTCTTCCCTGACCTCTTCAGCGACTGTAACGGCCACGTCTTCAGGTGGGTACTGAGGGTTCTCAGTTATAATAGGTCCAGGTCTTAATGTACCCAAATTCTAAAAGACCCAATGAGTTTGGCAAGGGTAGTGCCTATTTGGACTGTGGCCCACTTATCTTACAACCAGTGCGATGGTGGGACACAGTGTGAATATAAATATCAAATAAAATTTGACGGTACAGAACAGGAGGAATCCATTATGTTTATGACACTGGAAAGACTATACAGCACATATTTTCATAATAATAATAATAATAATAATAATAATAATAATAAACATTTCTTGCTGTACGAGGACGGTGTGTGTTGTGAGACGGGTAGGTGATGGTGGAAGTGACGGTGAGATTATATTATTTCCCTCACAGGGCCGTCTCAATGAGTTTCCCTCCCTTCAGTCACTACTCATCAGGTAATAGGACACACCCATTGGTGATGGAAGACTGTTTGGACAAACGGATCATCGACACCGTCGCTCAGGTTCGCAACTTCACCTACGAGGTCAGTGGTTCACACATATTATATTATTCAGGATCTGATTACATACTAGTTCAAACCCCGTGTGATGCTAAGCTTATCACAATTTACCTGTCCGTCCGTCTGCCATATAAGTCAAACGGTACACGTGCACGGTACTGTAGCATCATGATGCACATGAAAAAAAAAGGTTCAGGTTAAATATAGAGATTTGATGGCAATCAGACTGTTGGCCATATATTAGTTATTTTAATAATAGTGATTGGTTGTACTCATTTGTTAACTGGTGGTGTGGTCGGCAGGTGTACGAGCCAACTGATGAAATGTGGGGGTACCAGTTGGAGAACGGCAGCTTCACGGGGGTGGTGGGTGAGGTGCAGCGCTACATGAAGGACTTCTCCCTCGACCTTTCTGTGACGGCTGAGCGGGAGGAGGTAATCGACTTCACTGTTGGCTACTATTGGGAACCTCTAACATTCGTCACCAGTAAGCCACAGGTAAGTGTAAAACAACCCTATGTATTTCATCACCAGCCTAATCAACCTGCTTCAGTCCACTATTGGATGATGGCCTCCCTTTTAATATATTTTTATTCTCTTTTGAGCGTCTCCTGCCCATTAGTTAACTCCACACTTCCTGAACCTTATCCACCTCGTAGTTGGTCTTTTTCCTGAATTCTCGTGTCACGTGACGGGGCTGAAAATGGCACCAAAAGATCATTCGAATGTAAATGACTGTTTTATATAAAGCCGTGCTAGATGACATAAAATTTTATTAAATTACATCGTATGTTATATGGATAGATAAATAAATCTCAATTATTTAAGAGATTTTTGGGAGATATGAAATGACGTATAAGTTGCAAAGTTTGTTTTAAGTCAACATTGCCTTGGTGGTAGCCGCTGCCGCAATGGTTGGCTCTGGTGCGTCCGTACCAGGCGTATGTGTGGCTCTCCTTCCTGCTGATGCTGGCCGCTGCTGGACCCACCTACTGGCTCCTGCAGAAGCTGTCAGGCAACTTCCAGTCCCTTCCAGGGGCCACCCTCCACATGTATGGTGCCATGTTCATGCAGGTGTGTTTATGTGTCTACGAGTTATTTGTGTATTTGCTCATGAGCATATTTGTATACATGTCTATAATAATGTTGTTTTTTGATAGTGTGTGTATGTGTGTGTGTGTGTGTGTGTGTGTGTATGTGTGTGTGTGTGTATCTTGCTGCATATGGCGTTTGAACACATCGTTTCAGTACCGGTAATACATGAGTAGTGCTTCAGCTGCTTGTGGGTTTCATCCTGTATGGGGTGAAGAACATAGATAGCTTTCTTTGTGAGTTTTGTGGCCTCCGTGTCAGCATTTTTATACCGCAAGACACAGAGTACGTCACCCGCAACAAAACATAAAGAATATTTCTTCGAAAGCTACGTATTTCAAGTATGATGTCTGTAAGAAAGAAAGATTACAAGGCAAGATAAAGAGGAATAGTCACACAGAGAGTGATGTAGAGTAAGCTAATTCAAGAAGAGTTAAAGTGGTACTAAATGTTCTTAATGTTCGAAATGGGACGGTATTTAAGCAGGTGTAGCTCTGCAGGTTATGAATGAATTTTCTTTCCTATTACCCTGTGAACATTCTTGTAGTTTATTTCTCTTGATTGACTTGAATTCGTGGACAGGGTCGACGATGGCCGTCCAGTTCGGCAGTGCGGGTGTTCTCTGCTTCGTGGCTTCTCTTCTGCCTGGTGGTGACGGTGTCTTACGTGGGCAACCTGACAGCCTTCCTCACGGTGCCGGCCCTTTCCCCGACCGTCGACAGCTTGGAGGAACTCTTAGACTCCGACTTTGTGTGGGGCATTAATGACTTTGGCGCTGCTGACTATCAGCTCTTTAAGACCAGCAAGGTATGTGTGTGTGTTTAACTAATTTTTTGGCTATTGATATTTAGATTCGTCCATTTTTTCGAATTACTCTTATTTCTATAATTTTCATATAACTTTCGATATTTGATTCTCTCAACCTCTGTATTATTTTCCATATCACTGTCTAACGACTTGCTTTTTCACTCCCCCCTCTTTCCTTCCACTCGGTATCGTCACATTCTCCACGTCTCTCCCACGGGCTAAATTATCCTTAGTCGTAATCAGTTATAGTTCTAATAATCCTCGACCCTCATGTGTCCTGGACTTGCCGAACTCTAGGTTAAATGCTGTAGTACCCAGTCCTATTGGGTTAAAGTATAATGAGGTTCAATTATAATGGCCTTAGTCCTAGTGTTTGTGTTAGGTTAGACTAAAGTTTACTAGGACTGTGACATATTGCTATTGGGATCCATTTAATGTGGATGAACCTGTAATTTTTACGATAACCCGTTTTTTATCTAAAATATAGTAGAATATTTTAGAAAATTTTCCGTGGAAGGAATATTTCCTTAGCCTCCACACTTAACTTTCAAACCCTGGTCTTCGCCACAGGTGCCACTCTACCAGGAGATCTTCCGGGGACTGACCTTCTGCCCGTCGCTGGTGGAGTGTGTCCAACAGGCCCTGGACGAACGATTTGCTTTCATCTCCTTCCAGACTTACCTGCGGGACGCCATCGCCACGTACTTCACTGACAAGAACGGAGACACACAAGTGCATTTGGCCAAGCAGAGCTTCTTCCCAGCATCTGTCGCCATTGCTATGCAGAAGGGGTCGCCCATGAAGGTAAATTCATGAAAAAGTGAGTGTTAATAATACTAATGATATTTAATGACGATGAAAATAAGTATAGCTATTATAATAATAACATAAATGATAACAATAATATACCCTTGGCCAACAGAATCATTTACAAATGTCTGAAACATTTATTTCTAATGTTTTAACTGTCTTATGCAAATTTTTCTTCACAAATTAGGTCGGTTGATAAGCTCATAATAACAGCATTTTGATATTTTGCTTTGATCTTAATGCAATTAATGAATAAGATCATCTTGCATTTGGTTTTAAGATTAGACAAATGATTGTGTGTAGAGTTTCACGGAAATTTTTTTTCTGAAATATCTTGGTGAAAATATTGAATAATTAATAATTAAGGCTTAGCGCGATGGTTTTCCTCCATTTTTTTTTGTACGAGGAAGGATAACTTAATTATTGTGTGCGTTACTTTATAAATAGTATCATTAAGTTTCTTGGTCGTAAAAATTAGTAAATTTTACCTGGTAGGGACTTTTTATAATTCATGGGCAAAGACTAAAGGGCGAAGGTTAACAATGCTTTTTAGTTCTTATTATAAAACTTGACCAACCTGCTTTGAGGGTTAAATTTGTATCTAAACTTCCTTCTTTATTTTTGAAATGTTACACTTGTTAAATAGGAGCATTACTTCTTGTGATGTTCAGTACATGAACTATATATTGACAGCGGGTTTTCGATGGCGTCTTGAAGCGGCTGTTGGGTGGAGGCTTCAACACTAGGTGGATGTCTGCGCTGATCGAGGAGCACACGCTGGCCACCCGCAGGAAGGCCGCGGTAAGTAGGGGCACACTAAGGGATACAGGGTATGTGTGACGGGGTTGAAGGGTCAAGTCAGGGTTGGTTTGTGTAGCTACGGGGCCACCTGTACGCGTATGCTGGGATTCATTGTATGGAGGACAGGTGTGAGGCAACAGTTTGTGAATCATAATTGTAAGACAGATGTAAGTCATAACACAGGTGTAACATTCTCACCTGTGTCATTCCTGTGGCCGCGTGCAGACAGCTGCAACGTTGTCGGGGGAGACGGAGGCAGTGTTGGAGGGGAATCAACTGAGCCTCACCTTGCACCACCTGCAGGGAGTCTTTTACATCTACGCCGTGGGTCTACTTCTCTCTGCTCTCACCTTCACCTGTGAGCTGATCCTCTTTGGCCTGCACAGCGGCGGCAACAAGGGCTGAGGCCATCAACCAATCCTGAAAGACGTGCTCAATATCTCTCTTCCAATTTATTCGTATGCAACAGAGTTGTTCTTTTAATCTCTACTGACAATAGATGTACAGTACAGTACCTTTATTTTTAGTGATCTGTCTATAGTAGGTTATCAAATTTACATATCAGGCAAGTAATGTATCCATCATACGCACTCTGTGTTTATGTATATACTAAAATTTTATAAATTGATGGCTTTATTTTACTTAATACATTAAACAAACCACTTTTTATTAATGAAATAGATTGGACCAAATAAGAATTCATATATGTACTCTGTATATTTACATATATTTAAAGGAATTCTTGGATTGTTAAAATTCTAGAATGTAATATCTTTTGTTGATGGTTTACGTATTGCTGGAGTTCAACAACGAAGGTCTTTAAGTAGGTGCTTTAGGATAGTTGGTACATTACTAGAAATCAACAGTTAAGAGAGATACATCTTACTGGTGGTTGTTAGTGTGTACGTGTGCTCGGTAGGTTACTTACTGTTTACCATAAAGATTGAGGCTATGAAGACTTATTCCTTAAAACATCTGTCACTGAGTCACTCTATTGGTACTCTCACCATAGTGGCACTCTTATCGTAGAGGTATTCTTATCCTCGTGTCACTAACCATACTGACACTCACCATACTGTCACTCACTATACTGACACTCACCATACTGTCACTCTCACTATACTGCCACTCACCATACTGTCACTCACTATACTGTCACTCTCACTATACTACCACTCACCATACTGTCACTCTCACTATACTGACACTCGCCAAACTGTCACTCTCACTATACTGACACTCATCATACTGGCACTCTCACTGACACTCGCCATACTGGCATTCGCACTATACTGACATTCATTATACTGACACTCACTATACCGACACTCACCATACTGGCACTCTCACTATACTGACATTCATTATACCGACACTCACTATACTGACACTCACCATATTGACTCACTATACTGTCACTCACTATACCGACACTCACCATACTGGCACTCTCACTATACTGACATTCATTATACCGACACTCACTGACTCACCATATTGACTCACTATACTGTCACTCACTATACTGACACTCGCTATGCTGACACTCGCTATACTGACACCATACTGACACTCCCTGTGCTGACACTCACTATACTGGCACTCACCATACGGGCACCCTCACCATGCTGGCACCCTCACTATACTGACACCCTCACCATAGTGGCACCCTCACTATTCTGACACTCCCTATACTGGAACTCGCACTATACTGACATTCATTATACCGACACTCACTATACCGACACTCCCCATACTGACACTCTCACTATACTGACATTCATTATACCGACACTCACTATACTGACACTCACCATATTGACTCGCTATACTGACACTCACTATAGTGACACTATACTGACACCATACTGGCACTCCCTATACCGACACTCACTATACTGACATTCATTATACCGACACTCACTATGACACTCACCATATTGACTCGCTATACTGACACTCGCTATACTGACACTCACTATAGTGACACTATAGTGACACTATACTGACACCATACAGACACTCCCTATACCGACACTCACTATACTGACATTCATTATACCGACACTCACTATGACACTCACCATATTGACTCGCTATACTGACACTCGCTATACTGACACTCACCATACTGGCACTCATTATACCGACACTCACTACACTGACAATCACTATACTGACACTCACCATACTGGCACTCATTATACCGACACTCACTACACTGACACTGGCACCCTCACCATACTGGCACCCTCACCATACTGGCACCCTCACCACCTCCACATCCCCTTTACCCATCACTACACTGGCGTCTCTTAAAGACTTTACAGTAGTAGTTCACTCCACAGTCTTCACAAGGTACTGTATAAGCCCCTAATAAAAAAGTGTCTTTAACTTTTTTCCGTCTTTACAATATGAAACATAGGACGAAATTCTTTGGTATATTATCCAGTCCATCGTCATATGTTAGTATGCCTGCTCCCCATTTTTGGTAACAGTATTCATATATATATATATATATATATATATATATATATATATATATATATATATATATATATATATATATATATATATATATATATACATATGTATTGTAAAATATCTTAAGGAATAAAATTTAAATTACTGGTTATTTTGATATTCTGGCAGTTCTTTCCGAAAGCATTGGTTCAACACTGCTCACAGAATCACGAACCACATCGATGCTTTTGGGGGTGGACAATAAATTTCATCACTTCCTTACTAACCTTACAAGTTACACCACTGTTCTTACACACTGGATACCTTTATCCTGAAGTTCCATCTGCGAAGAACATAATTAGAAGTAGGAGAAGAACTTTACCAGCAGCAAAAAAATAATAGGAACACAAATAAAGAGGAAGACACCGACCTTTATTATCTGTCTTTGTCAGCTGTTTTATTCTTCCTCATTAAATTTTCACTTTTCATCAACTTGCTTTATTTATCACCACCTGATGTCTTTATTTTCTATTGGTTGAATTAAACAAAAAATAGCTGGTGGAAATAAACAATTTAACCAGATAGCTCATTATACCATTTAGGATCAAATGTTGATTGTCTACACAACTATTCACGGTTAGTAAGAGAGGGCGACCCAATTCACTCACACTCGCACACACACACACACACAGGCACTCAGTTCCGTTTATACTAGTCATCACAGTCAAGGAAACATCAGAACTATGCTCTCTCGACATATTCACCCTTCCGTAGACACAATTGACATGAGGTTTCTACATTTGTGACAGTCGGGCAGCCAGGTATGGACGCCTAACAGTAACACGGCACCTTCCCTTGTATATAAATAAAGTAATTAAGTTTACTTATGAACTAACATTGACTATTGTTGTTGAACTAAAGTAATACATAGATATCAGTAACTTCAAATGAAATCTGGTGGTAAAGATCAAACATGTAAACGGTGAGTTACTAATTACGAATATGACATAGAAGATATTATAATTATCATTTCTCGTATTAGTAATGGAAGTCATTGGGTTAATGATAGGAAATAAATAAACGAACGACGACAGCAGACCCATTCATTGAACGACTCGGCAGCCACATAGTTATTGAATATGTTTACACCAAGAGTAATTACTTTCTACCATGCTATTCCCCTTCATCTCTCTCTATAGTATTTGATATCATTCTCTGACGTGACTAGCCCATCACACAGCCAACTTTAACGAGAGACACTCGGCCATGCTGGTGTATTTCAGGTTTAGTCATATCTGGGTGAGAAGAACTTTAGTTGGGTAAACATACGTGTTTACTAAATTCTCTAGCATTAAATACTCACTGAAGTTTACAGCAAAGTATAACTTAATCCGCTCTATACTTATATAAAGCGTTTACCTTTGTAGTTATTATTACGTTTACTGTTATCCTTAACTATTTAGCACTATACGTATAAACCAAACTGGATTCGTAATTAAGAAGATGAATTTATATATGCTTTATATATAGAATTATATCCATTTTTAATAAATGACGAAACAAAAAAGTAAGATTTTCGAAAATTTCTGGGAAGAAAGTTAAAGCGAATACAGTAACAAATGGGTATATCTATATCAAGAAGGACAACATTACTTATAGATAAACAAAATAATCGTTGATACATGAATGAACAATTTACAGTACATCATCCTGACTGACTGTAAACAACTTGTAAATATAAAGGCCAAAGGCGTCGTAAATAACATTCACTAGTTACGGGAAAAACTCGTAATGTGATCCTTTGTAAATCCATTCAATGATTTATAAACCTTATCAGTATGAGGCTACAAACTTCCTGTTTTTCCTTAGATGTTAAGAAGAAAAAATACATGATGTTAATTGTAAGATTTTAGACTCTGACCCGTATTTAACTAATATTATTGTCTAAGTACCTCTTCAGATACTTACCTTCCCCTTAAAACATCATCACAGTTTATCAACTCCAGAAAATAACAAATTCAATATCAAGTTTATGGGGATTTAAGTAATATGTCTTTTCGTGAAAAACTTCAACCAGACTACGCGTGTGTAGGCATTTGTTTTAAGTAAATCTAGATTTCCTCAGACTAGTAAATGAGTAGAATATAATTAATAAAGTAGGGAACTACTTTATCTTATAGTATGATTCTGCTTCCTCGGTGTTTAATACCTCGGGTTCTATCCTGACGTCACTGTTTACACACACACACACACACACACACACACACGGTTTACAAATGGGATCAGCACGAAGGGGAACTCCAGCAACGTGTACACTCGAGCTAAAATGAGCTTCATTTTAAAGCTGTTCATCACGGAGGACTGTTGTGAAAGTGAGTCCACAGGCCTGAGACATTGTGGATGCAGCACACCGAATACCAAGCCTTCGGTACATAGCAAACAATGTGGTCCATATTGTTCTTGACTGTCTTCACGTCTTCAATTGTGTAAACTTTGATACTCATTCACAAATGGGTGGAATTCGGGTTGTCTGTTGTGGACCATCGATCCTTTTGAATAGGAGGCGAGTATTGCTTCCTGTGTCGCTGCACTCTAAGACTGTAATTAGTGTTGGGTTAAAGGTGAAAATGTTGTGCGTAAATTCAAAAGGCGGGAGATACAAACAGCGTCGAGTGGCAGCGAAGGTAACTTAAAGAGAAAATTTAAATCTGCCAAGAAAGAAACTGTCTTTGTTTTGAAAATTTCATTCAGTGACATTGTAATTCAACTTATTCTCTAATAATCAAATCATATTAATGATTTTATTACACATAGCAAATCTACATAGAGTATATACTTCATTATGCTTTAAAGAAGCAGTAAGGGGTGTAGCAGCCGAGCGAATACAGCTCTCCCCTCTTGACCGAAGGTCGCTGGTTCAGGCCAGGGCACTTGCAGCCCACCCACGTGTGAATGGGTTCCTAGCTCCACAGTTAGAGAAGTGTAGGTGGTTGAGTGCAGTATCAGCTATAACCTTTTATACCGGAGGCAAATTTTGAATGATTATATTTCATGAAATAATTGATTTACAAAGGTAATTTTAAATTTCGAATGTCAAAGCATTTCAAAAGTTTACAATCCATTTTTAATGGACCTCATGTTGCTCGACAGACATCCAGGTAATATTCAGTTTCTGCTTATACTCGGCTCAGTATGTCTGGCGTAATAGTTGCGGTGGTTGCGGGGAGTTTTCTTTGCGATCAGGAGGATCTGTTTAGGAAGCATGGAGAAAATTACGTTGTACACTCACGATTTATTAGCTTTGAGCATACCAAAACACGCAATGTCCCCTCCTTTGAACGGCCACCATCGATATGGGGCAAAAGTGGGCTTGACTACAGATATGATATCTGCACTCACGTACACTCTCAACCAAAACTTCTCAAACACCTGGGGACGATGGATGTGAGAATGAACAGAATGGAGCTTGTCATCTCGGAATGGTTACAGATTCCATAGTGCTTATAGCGTTGAATTGAATTGAATTCAAACAGTTTATTTAACCAGAAAAACACAGATACAGAGTGGATAATAATAACAATATTAACATGGCTGAGCCAGTTGAGAACCTGAGCTCTCCTGTAGACACCTGATATATACTATACATTTAATTCAGGGAAGTATTATGTAACATTAGTAACATCTGGAATAGTACAATAGCATGGTGGTAATAAGAACATTTCAAAATGTTACCACGGTTATCACTTCAATATTTATTTATTATATATATATATATATATATATATATATATATATATATATATATATATATATATATATATATATATATATATATATATAATTATTTTTTTATAAGTATACAGTATACAAAAAATTACAGTGGAATTGAAAAACATAAATATAATGGGGGAAGCAGTACAACATGGGTTGTACAGTATTAAGATTGAACAAGAGGACAGAGCTGTCAGGATTGTGTCTGGTTGGCAAATATATTTATTGCAATGGTAATTTCTTATCTATTTACATGATAATTTCCGATAAAACGGTTTTGATGGTACAATAAAAGCAGGTACTGTAGGTATTACAAGAAATATTCATACTTAGACAATAGATATTTTTTAGAGGTGATTTAAAGGAAGGGAGCGTAGTCTTTGCTTGGATGGATGGGGGTAACTTGGTCCATACCTTTTGGTGAGAGTGTACACTCGTAACACTAGCGCTACAAAAACAGGAAACAAAAACTTCGACAACTTGTTAATATTCAAAAGAAAAAAACACAATTGTAAGTCACTTATTTCATGAAAATTAATATAACCATTCAAAAATTGGGCTTTTACTTTCATTGACTTCATTTAGTTTATTGTAACCACACTGACCCTAACGGACCGTCGGGTCTCAAAGACCAGTATTCACTTTTTCAACGAAATAGTAAATCTATTTAGTTCAAGGTTTGTAGCGTTCATCAGATTTACTCTCTTTCAAACCATCACCACAAGACAGAAAGCACTAGTTTGCACTCTTATTTTGTTAAAACCTACAACTTGGTATATACTTTAGTTATAATTCATTGTATTTTCCTAGGTGAATAAACTATAAATATAATTTGTTAAGGATTCGGGTGAAATTCTCACAGTGGGTAGTACTGTGTCTTGGCAGATAGTAGCAGTTTCATGGACACACAAACACTGTACACAGACATCAGTACCCCATTCTCCAATACTCTCAAACATAAAGAAAAATTTCTTGCTACTGGACTGCAGTATATCACTACCACCACCCATCACTACTACCACCACCCACCACTACCACCACTCATTACTACCACCACCCACTACTATCACCATTCACCACTACCACCACTACTACCCTCCCACCACTACTACCCCCCACCACTACCACCACCCACCACTACCACCCTCCCACCACGACTACCCTCCCACCACTACTACCCTCCCACCACTACTACCCTCCCACCACTACCACCACCCAACACTACCACAACCCACCACCACTACCACCACCCACCACT